AAGAGGGGGTCAACTCAAAACCTGGCTCGACTCAGTCCGTCAAGACATGGAAATGGTTCTTGGACCTTCGGTATTTGGTCGCCGGCGCTGGCGAAGAGAATGGGTTGAACTGTCCAGGTCTGCGGCCACTGATCGTCGCGCGTGGAGAAACACCATACGGGACATAATTGAGGCCGGCTAGATCATTCATGATCGCAGCCGTAACAAGTACAAGTACACGTAGTACACCTTCAAGAGTGCGCACAACGACAACGAATTAAGGAGTCACGTCGGCGTATGGCCAGCGAATTGCACTTGCATTTATATTGATTGCATGGGTCGATGACTTGGGACACACGTTGACAAACAAAATCCGAATATCAGCCGACTTGATCCCTGATCTCTCGCGATTGGGCACGCTCTGGAGTGTGATCACCGTTCCGATCGAGACGGTATTAGAGTATTTGCCATAGTAATAAGACGATGGTTGTGATTGGCGCAGTCACGAATCGCCAAAGGCATCATTTTTGTCTAATAACTACTGCCTATGCCACACACCCTGTACTTGTCGATTACAATTCGATTGTAACTTACGGCCACTGTCATCAAAATAAGCCGCAGAATCCGGGTTAAGGACAGCTAGTTCTACACAGAGCATTCAGAGTACGCTTAACAGCACAACTCATAAGCAAACATCTGGATTTTTGCGTCTTGCTCCCAAAGAAAAAACACAAGGATTTGAACTGCACGGTTTAGCTATGTCCACTTTTTCGTTAGAAAATAGGATGGATCGCTGATGCTGGGGAGTTCAAGTAAAAACACATATAACCAGAAAGTCAGCTGCGTATAAGTTTGAGGCCTCACGAATGGCAAATGGCTTCCCTCGTTTAGGCCGATAAGAGCGCATTGAGGTGCGGCTTGGCCAGCGCCTTGAATGTAGTCGTCAAAGTTCGGTGGATGTCCTTACGTGTGGCGGTCGAACTATCGACAGGGTTCGCATGGTTCCCAAGCAGCACGCCTTCACGTTGGTGGAACCGACTGTACCCAT